TTGGCTACGCCTTCGCTTTCATCTTGTCCTGCCGCTTCTGCAGCTTCCTCGGCGTCGCCAGTGGCACGCAGCGCGAAGTCCAACACTAGCGAGAGAACCCGCGGCGAGGACGGCGTACAGGCCTATGTCAATCGCCTGCTCAAGCGCGTAGCAAAGCCGGCTGGAGCAACAACGACGCTGACCTCTCACTCCTTCCGCCGGGGCGGCGCACAACACGCCAATGGAGGTGACCGCCTTGCAGCGCAGTGGATCTTCGACCGCGGTGCGTGGGACATGAGCAAAGTCAACAAAGGCTTTGCTTATGTGTACAACACACCTCGGGAGGACCGAAAGGTAGCGCGCGTGCTGAGCGGGTGGGGGGCAGACGCGACTCCTGTAGTCCTCGATGTTGCCGCCCTTGATCATGGGGCACAGGAGCGGCTTGGGCGTCTGCAGATGCTTCTCTTCAGCTCATGTACGGGACTACAAGATCAACGGCTCGATGTACGTACCAAGGTTCTTAATGTGCTCACCGCTTACCTCGTCCGATATTACCCGCAACTGAAGAAACTCTCGCCAACAGCACCAATTGCTGCGCGCATTGAGGAGTGCTTGCTTGCTGCTGACGTCGCTACAGTGGATTTGCTTGCGTGGTCGGTGGCACTCGGTGACGGACCTACACCTGCCCAAGAACAGCGACAACAAGAAACAGAGAAGCCACACGCATGCCCAGCAACCAGCCAACTTCTTGCTGTCATTGATGAGCTTATCGCCTCGAACAAAACACTATCAGCGCGCTTGACAATCGTCGAAGCTGCCTTGCTCAAGTCTACGAAGCCACAAGAAACTGCTGAAGTCGAACAAGACACGTCAGAGCAACAACCAAAGGCCAAACGCAGAAAGAAACCAGCTACAAACCTGAGCGATACGTGGTACGAGTGGTACACGCGCATACCTCGCGTCTGGGACTCCTCCGACCGGCAAAAGAAATCGGAGTCCCGCCACGTCACCGCCTTTATGAAGTTGTTCCTTGACGAAGGCTTCACGCTGGATGCCAAGGCGGAGGACTACAAAGATCAAGTCCTCGACACCGGCTGTCGTGCGGAAGTTGCCGTCCTCGCGTTCCTGAAGTCGCGGGACATCCAGGCAAAGGGATCAGGAAGCGTCCTGCGCGCGCTGCGTCCTTTGCACAAGTCTGGCATCTTGGACAGTCGCATCGCTAGGTACAAGCATCTCCTCGCTATCGGCCGTATTGAAGACCCAGCCCCTGTAGACACGCAAGACATACTTGCCGTAATAGGCCACGTATAAGATAGCTTAATACTATACACAATTCGCACCAGTGAGTACCACACAGCAACCAAGGAAGTAAAGCCGGTAGTAGGGAATCGGACCCCCCACTCGTTACCATCCGAGTGCTGCACCAACAGTACCGGCAAACTGAGATACACGCCACATGCTGCACGCTGCCATGCCAAGGCCACACGCCAAGTCGCCGCCACGCCACACACCGTCATGCCGTCACGCTGCACTTAGCAACCCCCCCCCCCCTGCGCTCAGTCATTGAGCTTCGTCGTCCAAACTGGTGTGTGTGTGTGTGTGTGTGGTGGAGGCTTCGGACTTGAGGTCTGAGGGGTTGAGCTGAAAAAAGAAGACTAACACCGTGTGATGTCATGTCGGCGATATCCAAGTAGTTGCGCTGTGTGGCGCTCTCTCATTGGCTCTGAAAAAACCTCGTTGAGGTTTTTATAACGGCTGGTCCTCGTGGGGAATGTCACTAATAAGATGGTACAATGTACCTGTCATTGTTTAAAGGGAATAGCCTTAATAGTGGACCCCGCTGCCCGGTTCAAGCCCTCACTAATGAATTTACCAGCTCTGGCGCACATTGCTCCGAGCTTTATTTTGTATACAAACCAAAATGTTGATTTTCTCGGCCTACAGGGCTCTAGAGGCCATTTCCTCGCGCCTGTGAGCGCGCTTTCGAAAGCTGACTGGGCTTTAGTTGCCAATGCCATTTCGAACTTAAATGAAGAAACAGCAGTATTCTTTATGACGTGATTCATTATGTTTCTAAGTTTTTGGCCTGTCTTTCTCCAACTTCCGAACTGTCGGAAAATGTAGGGATGTCGGAACCGCTGCGATATGGCTGATGAGTGTGCACGACCGAAAGTGATATCGTTGGGCAGCAGTCAACAGGATGTGGTCGTGTGTGGAGAGAGCTCTAGTGAACATTTGGACAATTCACGGGTAGTAGTAGGAGCAGTTAATGCTAGCGAGCCATTTGATGTACTGCCCAGACCAACTGTGGAACAGGAAAAGCCTAGTCGCTCTGATGAAAAAAGAAAGGAAAACAACTACAGAGGTCATAGTGAGAAAGTGACGAGAAAGAGAAATTCAAAGAAGAGAGAATCTCCAAACCCCACCTCACAACAGGAGGCAAAACGGCTCGCTCGAGGTGCTGGATCTCGACTACGACAGCGTATACAGCTGCTTCCTCGTGGTGTTCTACACGATCCACTACAATTGGCGTTGAACGCTGCGATCGCTCTAAAAGAGCACGATACTCGAACCCGACAAGGTCCTCTTATGAAGAGTTTTGTTGCTGCGGTGACTGAAGCTGCTAGAATACTCGAGGACAATATAAACTCTCGCCAATCGAAGAAATATCTCAAAGACATGGAATTCATCGTGCTTATTGCAGTGGGTAACCTGGACGATCTGCTGAACCAAGACGAAGTAGCAGCAGTGTGGAGTATGGTCAAGAGCTTACAACAACTGCTCCACGCTCCTTCTGTCACGTCAAAACGTATTGAATGGTACGACAAATGTTGTATTCATATCGTTTACTTATACAGGAATGACCACTATTGATTTTATACTGCAGGTGCTGCCACAAACTTCAGACTTATCTCCTCAAAACGTACGAGATACCAGTTAATATGGAGGATTCCGTCAAGTCTCAGCTTGTTGATATACTGCAAAGCATCGAACAATCTACCGGAACGTTATGCCCCACGATGATCAGCAAGAATATGACGTTGGTGAGTGATCTATTGGAAGGTCGGAGCGCGGCATGGGATCCGCGCAATGATCCGAGTATTGGGAAAATGCTCGCTAGAACTCAGCGATTGTGCTCGGAGCAGTTTAGTTCGGAGTGGGACCAATGCTTCATCGCTATCTGTAAAACGTGCAGTAAGATGAACGGGTCGACTTTCATGTGGGTAGCGGATCTAGCGTCAGAGCCGCCTCAAGCTATCCCTTCGTCATGGGGCGAGCTTAAATTCACAGATGAAGCTATTGTGAAGAATAGTTTCGCCCACGTTACGGGTTTTGAAGAAAAAGCACGTGATGCAGATCCACGGAAAAAGTTGATGTTTTTTACGGAACTCATTGACCGACTGCAGTGGTTTATGAGCGGAGTGGTGAGTGAAGAGAACCAGTCACTACTTCCGTTAGAGCTGCTCACCCGGATAAACGAGTGTATGAGTACGCTGGTGGATCTGTGCGACCATGGCAGGGCACTCACTCTGGAGGGATGTCTTCATGTGGAGAAACTGGTTTGTATTATACGCCAGTTGATGTACATGCGCGGGGACTACGCAGCAAGGTCAACACGGTGAGTAGCAGTTTTCATTTTGCTGATGGATAATCTGGATTGTTGCTGACAGTGTCTGATGAATGTTGCTCCACAGCGTTCCGGTCTTGCTCTTGGGGCTATTTCCACCAGAAACCCGCCCCAAGTTCGTGTACCCTGCAAGTTCGAGATGAGTACAAGAGAACAGCAATCACCCGCTCGACGTACATGAAGAGCAGTACACAACATGTGTTGCTTTTGGAGGGCGTGTTCCTAAAGTTTTGGAGCAGCTTCTCGTGCGCTCTTTCTGGAGACAATGATCAGTATTTTGCGTGGGCATAGCTTCGTGACGACCACCCAGTTTTTCAAAATCCTCTGGCTCAGTTCCTAGCCTCCACCACTGAATAGTAATAACTCGACACTTGTCAATACTTCTCTTCCACTTGTTCACATTTTTTGTGTACTTTCCCACTGTTCGATCTTGTGAATAAAGTGGATGTAGCAACTCAACTTTTGAACGCACACCCGAGATTGGAGCCGCTAGTGGATCCCGATCCTCGGACTGGCAGGACATTACCGCTTCAGATCCCTTGAGCTTCACTTGTGCAAATATCACGATAGGCCGATCCCGCATTTCTTTTGTCGCCTTTTTAGCCCCGTTGGCGATTAACCAGACTCTTCTGCGGATCGCTTCCTCCTCTCACCAACTAACTGAAGCAGACTAGTAGCAAGTCTGAAACGAAGCACGACCATGACAAAGTGAGTCTCTATTTACCAAATGAGCAGAGTGTTTTTAAATAAGTCTTGCGTACCTTTGCCAACCAACCTGGTTGTAGTGACCGTGAATGTTCTTGCCATACTCAACAAATTTGCCCGCAAAGCGTTTGTATTCGGTACCCAGTTCATCTCGAAATGGAAGTTCACATACCCAGCGCCTTACAACTTCAACATAATTTCTCACGACGGGTTTTAGTGCGTAAGAACGATCATCTGCCATCACTTGCTGCATCACATCGAGCGCTTTGATAATGTGTTCCGCTTTTTCACTTTCTGGCCGAATGTGAACCTTTTGAGCCAAGTCTTGTAAAAGCTGGGCCGTATCACGCAACGACCTGGCGCTCACTGGAGTAGCAGATTTCGCTTCTCCAGAAGCCTGGGCGGTCTTGTTCATCTCGAGACTCTCGAGTTGAGCTTGAACTCTACTCACAAGAAACAAAAGCAATCAGCAGCTGCCTCTCAGTAAGCACTCCAGTCAAAGCCATCGACGTACCGATGATAGTAAGTCCTCAGCACCTCGTTCTTGGAGCAAGCACATGACAAAGCAGTGATTAAGCATCGAACTTCATTTGCGCATTCAGGCGTCCACACGAGGTTTCTGAACGTTAGCACAGCGTTTTCAAGTGCACGGGCAGTGACTTCAGCAGTCGGTTTATCTGTTGTATCACGACTTGACTGGCGATTGAGGATCAGCTTGAGATTGAACAGCGCCTGTGCCCACGCGTCCTTACTCTCAAAGCTACCCGGCCTCATCGTCGAAAGAGCGCTTAGAGCCTCGTGAGCTAAAGCCAGATCCGCACTTCCCTTTTTGTCAGTAGGACCAGAAGATTCACTCACTTTCTGCTTCTTGTGCTCATTCTCCATCTCTTCGTCCTCATCTTCGTCGTCTTCTTCACTGCTACTATCCGCGATACTGGACGAAGATGACGAGGAGTCACTGGAAGAAGCTTTATCCATTTCCTCCCGCTTTCTCTTCTGCAGGTTCATCTCTTTTACTTTCACTTCCACGTCGTCCACCTTTATTCCACTCGCCACCTTCTGCAGTTTATCGTACAAGTCCTGCTGCAATTTCATTGTGCCGTCCATCACTGCCAGCACAGTCTCACTGCGCCCGGTGGACCCTTTACCCTTGTCCAGTTGATTCACTGCATTCCGCACTTCCTCCACTTTGGTAAAAGCTGCAACGACGTCGCTTACGGATTTGGCCAAAGCAGATATTTCCTCTTCTAAAACGACGTTGAAGGTGCGCTGAAGCTTAGGGGAATCCACGAGCAACAAGACGCGCTTGTACAGCGCCAAGGTGTCCAGCGATGTCATAAATCGTCAATCGATGGACACGAGGAAATAGTTATCGAGGGTGTAGCCATTTGTGAACAAGTTTACAAAAAGTAGTCATTTGTAAAACACAAACTGGTTGTACAGAAGATCCCTTCAGTAGTAATCCCTAGAAATGGAATACTCCTCGATAGCAGTAAATTGGTTGACCAGTCACTTACAAACCCAAGATATTATTCCCTCTCACCCCTCAATCGTAAAATGGAATACATTTGAAGTCAAATATTCCTATTCTGGGGTGTTTAACTAAGGGAAAAGTCATAACTGTACAGTACATCCGAAGAAATCTAGCAAATACTTTTGGTGCTTGTGGCCTTGCTTTCTTCCAAGTTCTTCACGGAGCGTGCGCTGCATTTCTCGCAATCCGCTCACCGATCTATCCGATACGCCAGTCGCACCTGCACGAACTAGAAGCTTAGCGACTCCTTAATTGCTTCTGGCTCAAGGTCCTCCTCAATCCACGTACTACGCTCCATATCGTCCTCGTCCAGGTTTTCTGAGCCGTTCTCAGAGCCATCTACAACCAATTCTTGGTCACCAACTCCACATCTTCTGCAGCAGCTCGTCCACGGACATTGGGTCCTAAACGTGCAGACGAGATAACCTCCTCGCAAGCACAACGGACATTGCATCATCTTCGTCTGGATCTTCGTAGACGCTATTGTATAGTCTCAATGCCCGGTGTGGTTCCAGCATCTTGCGAAGAGGGAAGGTGAAAAAAGCCAATCTTTCCCACTACTGGAAGCGGTGCACTGTTCCAAACCAAAGGTACTCGGAACCATTTTTATGGTACATACGTGAATAGGAATACCTTTAGACAAGAATAAATTGTGGGTTCCCACCGCGATCACTACCGAAGGGATCTTCTGTATCACTTCGGGCTTTTCAATACTGGTGGTTCTACTTTCCAGCTTCATTCTTCGCACTCGGATGTCGGCTACGTTTTCAATTATTTTCGCCGACTCAACACTTTCGTAATACTAGTGGCGGTGCTACGATATGTACACATAGTTAGTTTTAGGATAAAATATCATCAGCAACCCACTCTGCAAGCGTACCTGCGCAAGTCGCTCTGGTTGCCCTCCATGTTCTTCATATAAGTGACAGCTTTGGTCACAAAACGCTGAAATCTGGAGGGTAAAAAGTCGCCGTGAAGAGGAACCGTAGCCACCCAGACACTCGCCTGCTCCACCGTTCTTCGAATATCCTTTTCACGCTTGCATTCAGAATCGACCTTCATCACGATTTCGATCATGCTAAGTACTTCTGCAATGCGTTGTGGTTTTTCATCGCATTGGAGAGTTTCCACGCTTTTCACCAAGCCTCGAAATGTCCCCACTAGGTGACCTAGCACCCTGCCAGCATTATCTTGCTCTATCTTCCTCACCAGTGGGCGACAGCTTTCCTTCACAACCTTGTCCAGTTTTACTTGAGCACTATAAGATTTGTTGGGGAAACGAGATTTTTTGTCATCTTCCAATAACACTGAGAAAAAGAATTCAAAACGTACACTTGGTAATCACTCATCAATGCCTTGTTCGTCGAGCAAGCCCCTGTGAGGGCAGCGCTAAGAAGCTGTATCTCGTAGAAACGCTCAACGGTCCATTCAACTTGCTCGAAAATCGCCATTGCAGACTCTAATGCGCGGGTGGTCACTCGAGCTATTGTGTTGTCTGTCGTTACAGCATTGCAAGCTGCCTGCTGCTTGAGAACGTCCTTGATGCCAATAACGGCATTCGACCAACGAGCTTTCATGCCGCCCGGGATCTTTTTGCTTTTAATTTTTACTTTCAAAATCGTGTTCAAACACTCCTGAGCAAGATGCAGACAAGGGTCCATCGTCTTGAGTTGTGGCGTTGTTTCGAGATCCTGCAATGCCGCCTCTGTTCCCTTAGACTTCTTTTTGGTTGGCATATCGCCTTCCTCTTCGCTGCTGCATGAAGATGAAGATCCACTACACGACTCGGAGACGACCATGTCCTCCCGCTCGTGTTCAATGGCCATTCCTCTCCCTCGTTTATGTTTCGCTTGGGTCTGTGTTTCCTCAGTGATGTCTACGTCTTTTTCCGACTGCTACATGACAACCAGCCACTGTCAACCACGATCCATTCCTTCCGACCTCGATTTGTTTTTCTCAAAATACTCACCACAGCTATCTCCATGGTCACCTTCTTCAAGGCTTCCTCCAATTTTTGCTGCAGGTTCATTGAGTTTTCCATCTCTCGCATCAAACTGTCGCTTCGTCCAGTCAATACGTTGCCCTGCTCCAGTTGGTTCATCGCATCGCGCACTTCCTCAACCTTGGCAAACGTTGCAACGACGTCGCTGACAGATTTGGCCAAATCGAAGAATTTCTTTTGCAGGACAGAGTTAGAGCTGCGGTGGAGCTCCGTGGGGTCCACGAGCGACAGAATGTGCTCGTACAGCACCAAGGTGTCCAGCGATGCCATGCTTGTCAATGAATGGACCCAATTGGATTAATCTGTTTAGAGAGGATGTAGCCATTTTAAATTGTGAATCAGAATCAGAATCACTTTTTGTAACCTGCTGTTCACTTGACGTTTTGCAGGAAAGGATCTGAGTCTCGAAGAATGGAGTCACCGTCGCAGTCGCCACGCTCGCACCGGGAGTCGGTGGATGTGAGCGTCGAGGATTTAGTGCACCCGATGGAGGCACGTGTGTTCCAGCTATCACATGAGCTCACACAGACGGACCCAGACGTGCCGGCGCTCTCGGTCGACGAGGTCATCACTAAGCTCAACATGTGCGTGCGGAATCCAACCCACAACGAATGCGGAATGAGCTTGTCTGATGACGTAATCTTGTTTTGTGGGTTTTATAGGATTGCAGAGACACTCGAGGAGGTGGAGACTAATTTCCGCAAGGAGCGATCGTCGCCCTACCGCCGCGACGGTAAGACTGCAGTTGAAGTATGGGGTCGAATCTCTTGCTGACGTGGGTCTTTTGGGGTTCATTTGGGGTTTTATTATATTAGGCCACTTGATCGGTAATCTCCTGCAGGTGCTGGAGCAGAACGAGGATTTCTATCCGATGGTAAGGCAATAACTGAAGTTGAAGATGGACTAAACTTCAACTTTTTAACGGTTATGTTGCTGTAGTTGGAGGGTAAACTATCGGATCTTAGCGTGAACCGCGTCAAGGCAGCAACGTGTCGACTACTGTTGGCCACAGTGCCAGTGAACAGCAGAGCGATTGTGCGCATGCTGGACGACGACGAGATGTTGGACCGTGTGTGTGGGTTTGCTACTGACACCGACCCAGGACTGCGCTGTTATGGCACAGGACTACTCTCCGTGGGGCTACGCGACCGTTCAGTTGCCGATACAGTTGTGAACAACGACACACCTGTTAAGTTGCTGAAACGAGCGAGAATGTTTGCGTCCAAACTGGAAAAAGAGAGACAACAAGCCGTCAAGTATATTCAAGACCATCTTCGTCTCGCTACTTCTCGTCATAAAAAGACAGTTAACACTGGAGGGAGTGGAGCGACGAAAGCGACCACACCACAGCGATCGTTGAAGCGTAAACACTCGGATAGTACCAGTCGAGCACCTAGCCATGGAACTGAGCACAGTGAAAATACCGATGTTACTGTTACTATGGAAACTGAAGAAGAAGAACCGACTGCTACGATTCCGATCCAGCAGTCTCTCCCCATTTCAACCAATGAAGAGGACGTAATGGGGAGTTTAGGCGAAGACGGAGTCGTGATGCCGAGTCCAGAGCATCATGAAGAGGATTTCAAGCGCTTGGTGATGCTGGAGCTGCTGTACACACTGGATTGTCTCGGATCTATGGGGGAATACTTGGAGATCTTTGCTCCAGCATTGAAAGAAGACATCATCGGGACAATTATCACGTTCTTGCACAGCAAAAATCCGGCTGTGATCTCGCACACGATGACGTTAACATCGCATTTTTTAGCTCATAAGAAATTCTCTTTCTCACTTGTTGAAGCGGGAGGTGTGGACCTGCTCTTCACTGTGTTCAAGTCGCAGCAAGCAGCAGGCCAAGTGGGGCCACTGGATCGCAGTTTGTCCATGTGTCTTCACGGGTTTGCGTCTTCTTCTGCAGTTATTGAACGCCTGGTTGCCATGAACCCGGACAATATGCTCTCAGCCGCGTTTAAACTGCTCTCCAGTCCCAACGATCGTGCAAGACAAAACGCAGTAGTGTTTTTCAGCTTGACCCTGAGTTTCAAGGTGATTCTGGACTACTTTGAAAAGCACAACGGGTTGTACACTATCTTGAACATTATTCGAGTAGGTAACCATCCAAAATCAGCAGCACAAAGGCAACTCGCACAAGATGCATGTCTGTGTCTGCGTCAATATGTACGCATGCACATGGCTCTAGTGACTCATCGTCTCCGAAGGAAACTGGCTCAATTGAATCACCCGTCGAATCGCCAATCCAACACTGCACCTGTGTTAACAACAGCGACGGTGGCATCTCGTATTCCAGCTCGTGTGCCGAAGATCACGTGGTCCAAGGCAATCGACCTGGATGACAAGACTCATGAACAGAACATGGTCTTTTACGAGAAGTATCGCTTCAGTGCAAGCAGCGGCAACTCGAACAACTCGTGGTCGGCTGCAAGTGGTCCAGGTGGAGCGATGTGGCCTCCTGCGGCTAAGTTAAACCATTTACGCGGCGTTCTTGTACTGCTGGAGGTCGTAGCTTTGATGTGCTCCGTGATGCAGAACACCGACCCAGACGCCAACTCATCGATGATCCGGGTATGGACTGCAGAGCGCGCGCAGTTTTGTCTGGATTCGCTTCGTGTATTAACGCTCGTGGTTCCATCTCTAGCGAACGAAGTGTGCTCAACTGAAGTATCACTGGAGGAAGGCGCGTCCAAGAAGATAGGAATGACCATCTTACTGGAAATCGCGATGAGCCACAACCCCAGAGATTCGGAGCTGGTGCGGGACGCGCTGCGTGTGTTTTGCAACTGTGTATCGCCTCCTCATCACGAAGATTGCTGGCAGCATCCTTTAAAGGACATTCGACAGTACACACTGACAGCGCGAAGCATGAGAACGAAGAAGGATGACCAGACAGAGGCAACTGACCCGGATAACTGCTCCAATTGCTGCTCGAAGTCCAAAGATGACAAAATGTTGAGACCTGTACGGAAGCTTGCACGTGAGCGGAATGCGATTAAAGTGTGTGTCTACCTGCTGCGCTACAAGCGTTCTGTTCAAAACGCAGACGCTATTCGTCTGCTAGCAACACGTGCCTTACTGGGACTCTCTCGTGACCGTCATATCTCCCAGATTCTCGAGAAAATGCAAGTCGGACAGTTATTGTCTGATATGATTCGTAGTGACCCCGTGCTGGAGGAGAACGCAGATATCCACGTTCGTTTCCGAGAATCTGCACTAGATTTGATCTCTCACGTGACACATCGAGCTTCGAACGTGGTGATTAATGAAGCTACAGACCCCACGGTGAGGAAGATCGAGAAGGCGAGTATTGTTGCGAATACCAAGATTTCATACGACGAGAACGAGCTGCTGAGGCTGATTCACGATCATTTGGTCACGAAAGGATTACATCATGCAGCCTCTGCTCTCGTTGATGAAGCTAAGATCAACGTTGAGAACTCCAAGGAGAGCTCAGATGCATCATCTCGCGCTATTGAACCGCACGTTAATGCCGATCAGAAGGTGTCAACACCGCATAGGAAGCAGACCGTAGTGGATCAAGAAGTCCCGTCCATCGTTCTGAGTCGACGAGAAAGCGGGTATTTAAGTGGAGAGGAGACGCCACGTCCGAAGAAGCTGCAGCGAGTGTCCTCTCTTGGCTCCATCGTGCCAGAACTAGGGAAGATTCAAGTTGCGGAAGGCACTCGTCTTTCAGTGAAAATGTCCGCACCAGCCACTCACTACCGCCACTCAAAGAAACTAATGCGTCAAGCTTTTCGTAGACGTCATTTCTTTCAAGATCCTACGCCAACACAGTCGGTCACTTCCCCTAGAGTTGTGTCGGAGACTGCCTGCCCGGATGCACTTCAGAAGCTCCCGATAAACGCGCGATGGAGTGCAAACAGTGAAGCTGCGACCGTATCACCGTCAAGTAAATTGGATGAGATTATCACGCATTTCTTGAGAGAACAGCACCGTCAATGCGCCAACCCAGTGACCACTGTACCGCCGTTTAAGCTATTGGGTAAAGGCTCAATGCATCGCTGTCCGGATCCTCCTGCCACATCGTCAAACTTGAGCATCTGCTCTCGTCTACTACGTCGAAGTCGTACGGGTTATCGTGTTGGTTCATCTGCGTTCTCCTCATACTATGCTGATGCTGGGATTGATCGCTATGTATTCAGTCGTTACCGTCCGTATCGCACTGTAGGTGCACACGTCGGGTCTTTCGCATGGGGAGGAGTGAGTGTCGCGAGATTCTTTGGTCAAAACCAACAGGAGATGCTGATAGGCAATCATGATGGAGAGCTACGTCAATTCAACATCGAGTCTGACGAAGTAGTGGAGGAATGGACCTGTCACTCACCGTCAAGCGCTATCGTGAGCTTGGAAACAAACGAAGCCACGTCCATGGGTCTCCAAAGTCGCCTGATACTGACTGGAGCTGTGGCTCTGTCTGAACTTGCAGTGAACGAAATCGCGCTATGGGATGCGAACGATACGAGTGCGTTGGTAGAGCGATGGCGGTTCCAAGGTGGTCTCCGTCCTGAATTTAATCATTACGGAGACCGGATTGTTGCGCTTGATGCCCGTTCTAACGAAGAGGATGAAGGACTGGGCTTTGCTGTTAAAGGCGCTGTCGTGCTGGATATAGCGACTGGGGACGTCCTGTGCGACTTGAAAGACGCAATGCGTTCGAACGATTACGGCGCAGAAACGAACTGCTGCTTTTCTCCTTGTGATGGAACGATTCTGACGGATGGAATGTTGTGGGATGCTCGGATCCCCACTCGCGCGTTGTATAAGTTCGACAAGTTGTCCAACTTCGGCTGCGGATTCTTCCATCCTAACGGGAACGAGGTGATCGTGAACTCAGCAGTGTGGGATCTTCGAACGTACCGTTTGTTGCGTATGGTACCAGCTTTGGACAAGTGCAGCATCAAGTTTAATCCTTCTGGTAGTGTGCTGTTCGCGTACTATCCCTACGCAGGGGTAAGTAAATGATCTAGATCGTTGACGGGAGTGAGGCTAACTCTGTGACTTTTTCTTTCGTCAGGGCGACTATTTGGAGCGCAGGAAGACCAAGCTGAAGTCGTGGTTTCGAGTACTGGATGCGCGTGACTACCGAGATATCACGACGATTGATCTCGGTCGTCCCGTGTTCGATCTCTCTTTAAACACTAAGAGCACGCTGCTTTCCGTGGTGGAAGGGCGCTATTTAGAAGCTGGAGACGTTGACGACGACGATTCCATCTGCCGTCTCTATGACATTGGGAGAAAGCGTCCTGCGGAAGATGATTCCGATGCTGAGGATGGACAGGATGAGTCAGACACACTGGATGATGACGAGTACGACGATGAAAGCTCTAGCGATGGAGATGAAATGGAAGAGGAGACGGATGAAAGTGACGAGGAAACGTCCGAATCGGAAGAAGTTGACAGCTCCGAAGTAGACGAGGACGCGGAGAGTGATGACGATGCTGCCGCACACATTCTTGCTGTTGAGGAGGACAGTGACGAAGACGGGGATGGATCGATCCTATCGACTCACGATCTTGGCTATTTATTAGAGCTCCCTGATACGACGTACTATGAAGTTCATGGCCAATACTCGAGTGACGAAGACGACGCTGAAGAAAACGAATAGTATAGAGAAAACCCAGTGCGAAAAAGGTAAAATACCACCGAGGGTTTATTGTCTAACAGTAATCCTTTCCTGATATTTGATGTTTTATTAGGGCGCTGAAACGAGCATATAGTCGTTTCTAGCTGTCCAGACGCAGTTATTTATTTATCGGACTTCATACGATGGCGGCCAAGCCTGAAGTGGACGTCGAGTCTCTACGCGATAAGCCTGTGTTGTTGAAGCGCAAGGACTTTCTGGGAACGGAGAAGGCAGCTCAGAGCCACCCCAATCGGACGTATTACTACCGCCAGCCCACGGATCTCCAGCACGTGATTGATACGTCTACCAGTCATCTCGTGCGTGAACCGAAGGACGTCAAGGTGTTGCTAGCACGTGGACAAGCACTTTTCAAGCAGGCCAATTACGAACAGACCATTCGAGATCTTAATGAGGTCGTGGCTCTGGACAGTTCAAATGCTACTGCGTTTTACACGCGTGGACTGGCCTACTCAAAGTTGGACAAAGTGGAGCTAGCAATACGAGATTTCTCACGAACGTTGCAGATTAACCCAGAGCACGTAAATGCCGCGTACGCCCGTGCATCCTGCTACAACTCACAAGGGGATTTTGTACGAGCAATTGACGACTACAACTTCGCATTGCTGAAAGATAAGAAGCTAAAACTACAGCAAAAACATCAGCAGGAGCTGCATCGCTCTGCGACTTTATCTCGGCAGCAGCTACAGCAGCAGAAGCAGCAACAAGACGAAAGCGCCAGCAACGCGTTACTTTTCTCGCAGCGATTAAAGAAAGCCTCACCAGGTTCATTAGCAGAAGCTGACAACAATGCAGAAGGCCTGCGTCAGGAAGAGAAGGCTACGTCTGTGTCTGTGAACTCTCGATTACAGAGCTTGAAGCTAAATGTAGCCTCAACTCCAGCAAATACGCTGCCACCAACACGGACAGCTACCCCACCTCCAGCCACAAGTCTAGCAACTTCAGGTGAACGGAAAAGTACTACTGCGACGGGACTAGATACGACAAAGATCTCGTCTGCACTTGAACAAGCAGAAGTTCACCACGCGAGAGGCTTTCAGTATCGTCAAGAAGGCAATTTCCAGGCTGCAGCGGACGAGTATTCACGGGCGATTCAGCTAAACCCTCAACACTTCAAGGCTTACTTCAATCGAGGTTTCGTTTACGACAAAATGCGGCGCTTTGACGCCGCTGTGGAGGACTACACGCAGGCTCTGAAAATGGATCCACACAATGCTTTCGCACTCTACAACAGAGGGATCTCTCTTGATCGCAGTGGAGACTATCAAGGCGCACTCGCGGACTTCACTCGAGCTATTGAGCTGCTACCAACAAACGCTGATTTCTACCATAACCGAGGCTTCTGCCACCGTAAACAAGGCAACTTTGAGTTGGCTATAGCAGACTACTCACGAGCGATTGAGTTCAATCCGGAACACTTCAAGTCGCTGTACAATCGAGCGTACTCGTACGACAAGCTCGGTCGTTATGAAGACGCAGTACAGGATTACACGGCCGCATTACGCGTCGAACCAGAGAACGCCAACGCTTATCACAACCGAGGAAGTACGTACGACAAGATGAAAGACACCAGTCGAGCTATCGCCGACTTTGATCGTGCGATCGCTCTTCAGCCTCGCTCAGTATCAAGCTACAACAGTCGTGGGCTGTGTTACGACCAGCTTGGACGGCACGAAGAAGCTCTGCAGGATTTTGCGAAGGCACTGGCGCTGGATCCACGCAGTGCTGTGTTTTATCACAACCGCGGCTACTGCCTTCGTAACATGGGCCGCTTCGAGGAAGCTGTACAAGACTACAGCTCTGCTCTCGCTCTCGAGCCTCGCAATGTCGCTGCGTACAATAATCGAGGCTACGCACTTCGTAAGCTTCGTCGCTTTAAAGAAGCCGTCGCCGACTACACGACAGCGCTGACTATTGATCCACAAAACACAAGAACTCTCAGTAATCGAGCCTATTCCTTAGCAAAGATGCAACGTATCGAAGAAGCCATCGCAGATTACACCCAAGTACTAACACTGGACCCTCAGAACTCATACTCACGTCACAACCGTGCAATTCTTACGGCCAAGATTAAGGGCAGCGACGTAGATGAGCGGGATCTCAAGTGATTCGGGCCAGATCTTTTTGTCTACGTCGAGTTGCTTTAGTTGTGAGGGTTCTAACAGACTTAGAACTTGAAGCCCGAGTGCATGGCAGTCACTCCGAACGTGAAGTTGGTGTACGTCACGCGCTTGAATCCGGCGTCCTCGATCATTGTTTTAAACTTCTCCTGGGGCGGGAACTGACGGATACTCTCGACCAAATACTGGTACGACGCACGGTCGTTCGCTACCTTGTCACCCAGCAGCGGGATCACGTTGAACGAGTACTGCAATAAAAATAATAATTAGCGTTCCTACTCCAGATCTTCAAAGTTGATAAGAACTTACAGCGTCGTAGAACTGGCGAATAAGTGGGTTGGGCACTTGACTGAACTCCATGCACATGAAGCGGCCTCCGGGCTTGAGCACACGGTAAGCCTCCTTGATAGCGCGATCCACATGAGTGACGTTGCGGATACCGAACACGATGGTGTAGACGTCGAATGAATTGTCCTCGAAGTCCAAGTGCTCAGCATTGCCCTCCACCCAGCGGAAGAGTGATGGATCCACATTGGGAAGCACTTTGGCTGCACGTTCCTCGCCCACCTGCAGCATGGATGAGTTGATATCACACACGGTGATCTCGGAGCCTTCAGTGCCTCGTGACGACTTGGATAGCTGCTCGGCGATGCGGAAGGCGATGTCACCGGTGCCTCCTGCCACGTCCAGACACTTCAAAGGACCCACAGGGTGGAGGGTGTCCACAAATGCATCCTTCCAGAGACGATGCATGCCGCCGCTCATGAAGTCGTTCATGACGTCGTATCTGGCAACATTTTGCAGCGATTTATTAAATGTGTGAGTCGCATGCAGGTCTCAAGTATGGGGGGTCGTACTGCTCGGCTACATTGTGGAACACGGACGCCACCATGCGCTCTTTGTCCGCCTCGGGCACCTGCTGGAAACCGAAGTGCGTCGTCGTCGAGCTAGAGTTTGCGGTGGAGGAAGCATCTGAAGATGAGCTGGCGGCGGTGGAGAGGCTGCGCACGAAGCGGGCGGTGCGGGGCACTCGACGCAGTACGAGCGACAGAGTCATGGCAATCACCAAGAAATCTGAGGTCGAAAACTCTACAATGCACTTTTTTGCAATATCCAGTTAAAATTCGAATATATTTGTTTTTTAGCGCAAGAAAAACACAAATTAACAAAGAGATTATTTACAATACCGGCAAGTTTCGTTGATATGCATCTTAAAAAAACAGATCAACAAGACCAATTAATCAATTCACTCGAGTAGATTAAATGGCAGTGAAATAGATATATATGCATCTCTTGCGTTGAATTTAGCAACACGTACACGCAGCATCGCTACTCCTCTTTCATTCACTCCACCTCAACACCCCCATCCCAACGACGCCAGCAATTTAATCTGCGCCGCCAGGTAGAACGCTGCCGCGGTACTAATCGGCTTGTCACTGCGCTGGAAATCGTCTGGGATCTTCTCATCCACCATGAACGACTTGGCATGGTTTACGGAAATGGTCTTCGACTCATAGTCCCCCATTGCAATCAGCAACAGCGCAGATTCCCCGTACGCCGTCGCTTGCGCTTTAACAGGGAGGGCGTACTCCGGGTTCTCCTTCTTGCATTGCGTCTCCCTCTCTTTTCTCACTTTTGCCATAGTGTGTTTATTCAGCTTTCCATCCACACTTTTAGCGAACACATTATCGGCCAGCGTGGTATTAACTTGCGCTGGGTCTCTCTTCACGTACGTATCGTCGTGCACCAGCGATGCGTCGTGCTCGATGAACCCGTGGACACTCAAGTCCGCGAGTGTCAGCTGAGGCGGCAGCGGGCGAGTAAGGCGCTCTGCCAGTCCCTCGTCTACATTGAATACGTCCATAATGGCATCGCGTATCAACTGTGGGGTCAACTCCTTTCCGTCGCGAGGCAGATATCCGTGGTTCGCAAGGGAATTAAGTGCTGGGCACGGACTGCGATGGTTTGGAGCGGAGTTTGGAGGAGGAAAGTCGGAGACGTCGACGCCCGACGGACGGAAGTAGTGGTGGTGGTGGTGGTGTTCAGCTGCAGCATTTGAAGCTTGTGCAGCAGCTTGCACGTTGTGCGTGCAGCAGCACGGGCGGGACATCATGATCGATCACAGTAGTGAGGCTTTATCGAGCCGATAACAAAGTGTCATTATGAATGAAAACTTGTAGAACTTTTTTTTCAAAAAAAAAATGTCGCTTGCCAAAAACAACCCATTAAAATTTTAATGGGTTGTTTTCGTCTGAATGGCATCCAACGGTACGGTTTATTTGGGTTATTCAGAACCAACTCAAAAAAGTCAAATTTTGGGTCGTAATAATATATGCTTGGTTGGCATTCAACTTAGTTCCAAAATCTCGTCGTGATGCATACGGATTGGCTGGGATGGTATTCAGACAAAAAAAACCCATTAAAATTTTAATGGCTTTTTTTCGTCTGAATGGCATCCCAGCCAATCAGATCTCTCGAAATATTTTTTCCATTCCCATTTAAGTTGTGTTTTGGCTGTCATACCAGAAAATGGATATTCTGTGTGTCTTACCTCAAGTTGAAGTGGCTACATCACTTCCTTCTGATTGGCTCATCACTTCACCTCATTTCAGCTAATCACCGCTAGCTCCGCTATAAATATCTGCGGAAAATGGATATTGTGTAGATTAAAATCAAGTTGAAGTAACTACATCACTTTCTTCTTATTGGGTCGTCACTTCGACACAAAGAGACGCAAGCGGACGCTGTTGTCATCTGGCCACCTCTCACTTGTGGATTATCGTCCTAAATGGGCGGTTCTTCGACTTCATCTTCGCTGTGGGTGGCGCTCCCCACGGCCGCAGCAGCCGCTGTTCTTATCTATCTACTCGTCCCCGATGAGCGCCAACGCGCTATCCGCCGTCTCCCGGCCCCGACTTCAACTCTGCCTGTGCTGGGCAATACACTGGACGTCATGGGCGTGGAACTTCCACGACTGCACGACTGGATCGCCGAGCAATGCAAGGCCTTCGGTGGCCGCACGTGGCGTCTTCAGGTGTTGGGCGCGCCGCCGCTCGTGGTCGTCAGCAGCGTCGAATGTTTCGAGGACGTGCTCAAGACGCAGTTCGAGGTGTTTGACAAGGGCCAACGCATGACCAACATCTTCCGTGACGTGACCGGCGGTGGTATCTTTGCCGTGGACGGGGCCAAGTGGGTGACCCAACGCAAGATGCTCAGTCGGCTCTTCACCATGCGGGCCTTCCGCGAGACCATCAGCCAGTGCGTGCACGACTACACTTTGGTGCTCGGCCGCTCACTCAACGAGTCAGCGCGGACTGGGGTCCCTATCGACTTTTCAGTCGTGATGCATCGCTTCGCATTCGATGTGTTTACCGACATCTCCTTCGGCCTGCAGGCCAATTCGCTGGAAGGCGGAGAACACACGCAGTTCATGGAGGCCATGAGCAAGATCGGCCATAATCTAGAGATGCGCTTCCATTCTCCGGATTGGCTCTGGAAATTAAAGCGAGCACTGAAACTCGGAAGCGAGAAGGAGATGGCCGAGGAGATCGCTATTCTGGACAAGATGGTGTTCACTATGATCAATAAAAACATGGAGCGCAAGTTTAACCCGGACGCGGCCAACGAGTGGCCCCGACGACCTCAACGGACCACGAAAGACGTGGTATCGCTCTTCTTGGACGCTCAGGACGAGCAAAAGACGTCGAGTGAAGCGTATGACACTCAACTGGACGCAAACTTCTTACGAGATATCGCTGTCTCTGTGTTACTAGCCGGTATGGACACTACAGCGTGGTCCTTGTCGTGGCTCATTGTTATGCTCAACCGTAACCCGAAGGTGGAAACCAAATTGCGTCAGGAACTGCGTGATAAGCTTCCCCGGTTGTTTAGTGATCCCAACTACGTACCGACCATGGACGACGTGGAAGGCCTCGTGTATCTAGACGCTGTTCTACGTGAAAACCTCCGTCTAAACCCGGTCGTACCGCTGAACGCGAAGGAAGCGAACCGTGATACGACACTTGTGGACGGCACATTCGTGAAGAAAGGGACACGCGTCTACATTCCGTCCTATTCGTTGGGCCGTATGAAGAGCGTGTGGGGTCGCGACGCGTCTAAATTCAAGCCGGAGCGATGGCTCATGCAGGACCCGTGGACGGGTGAACTCACTATCCGTCCCGTGTCGGCGTACCAGTTCGTATCCTTCCACGCTGGACCTCGTACGTGCTTGGGTATGCGCTTCGCTATGCTCGAAATGAAGACTGTCACGGCCTACATGCTGAGCAAATACCACTTCACGACCAAGGAGAACCCCAAGAGTTATACGTACGATATGGCCTCGATACTTCAGATCAAGGGCCCGCTGATCGTCAAAGTGCAACGAGCCGGATAGAGCAACACGTTTTCATTATGTCCTAGTTCCATTCATCTTTGTCGAATACAATACAATTCCAATCTAGAACTGAGGAACCTTCCAACTGGTGGTGCTTAACACTGGTGTCATTTGTGGGCATTGGGATAGTATTTATCGCGTCCAATGTGTTGCCTGCATTGTCGAATTTTCACGGTCGGTTTAACGATGAAGACGTTGTCAGTTGCATTGACGTGTGGAGCGCTTGCAGTAGCTCTCAACTCGTTCTTCTTGGTCGACCACTCTTCTCAACCAACAACTCCATCACTCACTACTGGACAGCATGGATACTTTCGACCTCATGATGACCAGGTCTATGGACTTCCAGGGAACAGCTCATCCGCTTACTTCCGTAGCCCATGCCCAGCTCTCAATACTCTGGCAAACCATGGCCACATCCCCCGAGACGGGAAGAACCTGACCCCTGCAGTTTTGGGTGACGGGATCATGAAAGTCTACAACTTTGATAAGAAAGTACTGGACGTTATCTTCCTCGCTTTACCGTCAAAGTTCACGCTCGCCGACCTTGGAGGCCCCAACTTTATCGACCATGATGCTTCGTTAGTTCACGATGACTCGTTCTTCCAAGTGGAGCCGTTCAAAGTCAACAAGACTCTTGTGGGCGAGCTGTTAGCAAGTGCTGAGCATATTGGGGGACACAGTGGTCGGGTGCTTACCACGAACACAATGGCTCGCTTCCGGCGTCGTCGAGAGATCGAGTGTGCTCGGGACAACCCGAAGTTCAGTATGAGTGCGTTGGCTAGCTTCGTGGCCAACGGTGAGGCCTCGTTCGTCTTGCAAGGCTTGGGCGACTACACTATCTCGGTGGAACACGCTCAATCTTTCTTGGTGGATGAACGAATCCCCACAGACTACCGTCCATCCAAAACACCGATAACCATCACGAGTGTACTCCTCGCCATTGCAGAGCTGAAAATTCGAGCTTGGCTGGGCTAAGAGGTATGCAGGTGCTCTGGATTGAGAATATCCAGCACTGGACCAGCAGAAGGTATCTCTGTTGCTAATGTACATGTACCTCCATCATATCTCACTGCGTAATGAAGGTCATTCAACCCACCTGTATTCTATTCCCTACTTTACAACTCAATCCAGAATCTGCGCCACAATGACCAAGCGAGTCGTCAACCCTGCCTTCATCATCATGGTATCCGTTCCAATCGCTATGGTGCTAAACGTTTTCATCTCCATGAACAAGCCTTCGCGGGTCGTACCCCAATCTGTGGATCTCACTGGAGACCATGCATACTATCGACCAGGGGGTACCGAAGTCTCCGGGTTCAAGGACAGCACGTCCACGTATCATCGAAGTCCGTGTCCAGCACTCAACGCTTTGGCAAATCACGGCTTCCTCCCACGCGATGGTAAGGAGATCACCCCAATACATCTCCAACAAGCTCTCGTCCAAGTATACAACCTCGACAACCCACTCGCCGAGTTTCTTGTGAGCAGCTTGCCCGCTGAATTCTCTCTTGCAGATCTGGGCGAACACAACGTCGTCGAGCACGACGCCTCCCTCGTTCATGATGACTCGTGGAAAGGACAAGATCCGTCGTCCGTGAACGTCACATTGGCCATTAACCTGCTTTCACGCGGCCATCAACTAACGAAAACTACGTTGGCTGTATATCGCCATGAGCGAGAAGCCGACAGCACTGCGCATACACCAGACTTTAAGACGACATTCACCATGGAGCGAGCTCTGACTGCCTACTCTGAGGCGGCTGTAATGCTTCTTGTACTTGGAAATTCTTCAAGCATACCGACAGATTATGCCCGTGCGTTCTTGGTCGAAGAGCGCATTCCAGGTGACTACAAGAAACCAAGTGTACCGATATCACTTAGTCAATCTCTTTGGCTCGCGTTGCAGCTGAAGACGCTTGCTCTGCTCAGCCCAGTGTTGGCATAAACTAACAAACTCTTGACAAAATGAACAGTGCATTTACTCTTTTTCTCGCCTCAAAAACTTACGCGTTTACTCAGTAAATGGCACGTAGAAGACGACTACCGTTACAGATGGACGTGGCAGCGATGAAGAACGTGAAGTCGCTCTGTTTATGGTTCAGGAAGCGGAAGGCTGTGAGCTCTGCGACTGTAACGCCACCGACGTAATATACCAGCACATTGATGCGCTTCCCACCGCTGCTATTGTCCAAACTCGACGAAGAATCGGACATACTGTGGTGGCTGGAGTTGTTGCTTCCCAGACTGAGCAACGACGAATTCGGGTCTTTAGCGAGAGTCTTATACTTCATACCGAGCGAATCTTGCAGCAACCGGATACTCATCGGAGCATAGCCCGTGTACGGGAACATGAAGTGGATGTCGGTGGGATGTCTCGTGTCCTCGTCATCCAGAGCGCCACGCATTAGTAGAAGCTGTTTGCGCATCTTCGGGAAGTCGAAGCGGTTCTCCACACTCAGCAAGTCCATTTTCTCCAGTTGCACGAGTAATGGCAGGATCTGATGGCCATAAGTATGACAGAGTTGTTGGCGATACCATGCCAATCTGTCTGGTTTGAGGCCGCCACGAACAAGAGAGCAGAGACACAGTAACTTGACGACGTCGTAGAGATTCAGTGGAGGTTCACGTAAGATGGCTTCCTCCAAGAAATTGTCCACATCTTTAGCTGCAGCGGACGATGCACGCGGACCAGCACTCATGATGGTCATTTCCGTCTCCACACAGCCACGTAGAGCAAGTTGCGTACTCAGTTCACGGATCCGCTGTACCAGTTGCAAATGGTGGGCCAGCGAGCGCTTCTTCTTGACCAAATGAGGGGCTTTAGCCAGTAGAGCCTTGACCTTCTGGAACTCAGCCTGGCTGTCCTTAGGCAAGCCGACAGTAGACCCGGCCGAGCTGCCACGAACCTCAGTGGCCAAGTCCTTGGCGACATCGACCAGCTGGTTCGATACCAAGTTGAAGTTAACGTCGCGGATCTCGTCGAATAGCGCGTCGAGGTGGTTCAGCACCACTTTTTGCGTTGTCGAGCTGTTAGTATTACTGGGGGGTCTATCACTCGGAACTTCTTCCGTTTCTTCTTCTTCCTTCTCGTACGTGACGACGCCGTGATTGACCCCCACCAGTGCATCTAGTAGTCCTTCATACGTCATGGGCGTCAGAAGCATTGATAAGGGATCTTCCATTCTATCAATCACCACCAATTTATCCATGGCCGTGGCCACGTCGGCCTCTCCTTCCTTCACACCGGCCGCCCGGTTCATCTTGATCTTTTGCTGTTGTCTGTGGGCCAGCTCCAGCATCTTTTTGACTCGTTGAGCGAAGAATCCATGGCACGTTACGTCTAAGATTCTGCGTCCTGTGTGTTTCTCCACGGCCAGCACACTCTTGACCACGTCTGTCAATGCCCGGCTGTCGCCTTTCACATAGAGCTCTCCGAAAACGCTGTCGTGGCACAGGGCCGCGACGCCCCGGTCCACGGGGATCAGGCCCAGGGACAAGTTGGCCTGGCGGATGAATCCCGCAACGCCCTGACGCTCCATCTCTAGGGTCACGTCAGACGTGGCCGTGGGCAGCCACAACACGGCGCAGCGCCGAGTGGCAACGAGCTCCAGGGGGCGCAGCGCATCGGCCAGACGCTTGGCCACGGTGGGTAATGGCGGGGCCACCACGGCCACGTCCAGCGTCTTCCTCCCCTGCTCCTGATTGGCCTGTGGGTCCTTGGAGATGTCCAATTGTCGCTGCAGTTGGGCCGTGTCGCCTGCGTGAAGCTGCACGCTCAAAAGGCGAGAGATCCCGAGTTTATCGTAGAACTCGCTGCCGCCTGAGCCGTAGGCCAGCAGTTCGAAGATGGCCAGCTGCGACGCATCCACCGCAAGGACCACCTTGCCGCGGGACACGGTGGCCGGGCCCAGAGCGACCTCGATGGACCGAGCGAACGCGGCCAGCGCGTCCGCCTTGAGCGCAGTCTCAAGCTCCATCGCGGTCGAAGATGGTCAGGAATCAGAACAGTCCGAGGACTATTTGTTCCGGGGACCCACATCTTGGTTTCACTATGCCTAATATAAAATCCCTAACATCGATGCGTCGGTTTGAGCGGACTAAATTTGTGGGGACTATTAGTAGTCGGACTATTTGTTTTGACCAATCAGGGGATGCTAAAAATATGACAGATTTGTGTGGACTATTAGTAGTCTAACTATTTGTTTTAGCCAATCATAGGGTTTGAAAAATTGTTGAAAAATATCATGTAATATTGTGCTTTGCATCAACTTTGGCTTATGAAAAGCGCCTCTATTTCGTGTATCTAAAGCTAGAACATAACCCAACGTTAAAAATAAGTTAATCATACCGGATAACAGAGCAACTCTTCAGCTACAACGCAAAACCACAGCGACAATGCAATGCCCGGCTACTTCTTTCCCAGCTTGTTGACTTGAACAAGTGCTTGCCTGCACACTATCCTGCTCCTTCACGGGCCAATCGGCAAACAACTGAGGTTCATTCTCATTTGAAGCGGGATTCGCGTGTTGGTATCACATTACCTTACGACGAAACAGTAAACCCCAACGAGAAATAGACCACGTCGAGACCCTCATAACGGACGCAACGACACTTAGGTCAATGTCTTAGATGTAGATCAGCACAATATATCTCCAACGCATGTCGATAGAAATTGTCATCTTCTGGAATGTAGCTGCACGGGCTTAAGAAAGGCTTAGAGTGCGCGACGTTGGTTTGGCGCTTTTACTACAGCCATTCAACGAAAACACGCATTGGACAACATTAACTCTTCGAGTAAATGGTAATACAGTTAATTCGACGATTACGGTAGGTAAATCAATGTTGGATTATTTTTCAAGATTTGCTAAAACAACGAGTTAGGACATCGTTTAGACAGAATGTGTTCAAAGCACAATACATTCCGATCGTAATACAAACAGAAAACATCGTAAAGTGTATTGTCATCAACTTCACACTGATTTTCCTACGCAAGCGAGTACCGCGGGGACTTGACCTCAATATAAGCGGGCGACTTGGGCTGTCCGCTGCGGAACAGTGCCTCGATGTCCTCGAGCATCATACCCTTGGTCTCCGGGCAGAAGAAGTACACGAAAATCCCGCAGATGCAGCACAACCCAGCGAACAAGAAGAACACGCCGTTGATGTTCAGGTGAGGGAACAGCTTCACCACCTCCGTCATGACAGCACCCATAGCCCAATTGGCAGCCGTGGACAAAGCCACAGCCGGCGCGCGCACACCCAACGGGAAGATCTCGGCCGGGTAGATCCAGCACACGGGTCCCCACGAGATGGCGAAGTTGAAGACGAAGAAGGCCGAGCCGACGCAAATGAACCACCCACCCACGCTCGGACAACCGGCATCATCGACGTTACCGTCACAGATGGCAGTGAACAGGATAGCAGCGAACAAGTGGCCGACCACCATACCCACGGCACCGATGAGCAGCAACTGACGACGGCCGAAAGTGTCCACCCAACGCATGGCCGGGATAGTACTCAAGAAGTTGACACCCGAAAGGAAGAAGGCCGAGTAGATACCGGCGTTGGTGATGTCCTTGAAGATCAACGCGCCATAGCTGAAGATGGGGTTGATACCAGTGGCCTGCTGCAGCACTTGGAGCAACATCGCGATAGCCACACGCTTGAAAATGGACGGCTCGAGCAGTTCAGCCAGACCCTTGGAAGCCGCCAATTCTTCGTCAACTTGGTCACCGATCACCTGCAGCTCGCGGCCGACGTTGTCAGTCTGACGGAGACGCTTGAGCACGCGCTCCGCCTCTTCCTTGCCCTTGTGCAGGTACGTCCAGCGAGGACTTTCCGGCACGAAGAAGATGCCGAGCATGACGACGATCGGAGCAGCCATGGCCACACCGTTGGTCGTACGCCAACCGTGTTCACGGTTCTCCACGATGATGTTAACGACGTTGGCCAGGAAGAGACCCGTCACAACAGTCATCTGCATGAAACCAGAGAGCAAACCACGAAGCTCCTTGGGGGCCATCTCGGCACCAAACAGAGGCAGTGAGAACGACGAGTTACCGACGCCGAAGCCCTGGATCACACGAGCGATATACATGAGCGTGTGTTCCTGCGCCTTGTTGAAGCAAACCCACGACGTGCCGATGCAGAACAGCAGACCAGCAGTGAAAATGGTCCAGCGACGACCAAGCTTGTCGGCCACGATGCCGCCGATGAAAGCGCCAGCGAGACAACCCAGGTTGTACGCCATGTTGTACCAGACAGTGAAGTCCGTCCACTCATGTGGCAGGTCCGACGTGGAAGCGGTGCACTGCTCGTAGGTGAAGTTGTGCCAGCCGACGCAGTAGTCGTTGATGAAGGAGTCCATGATGAGAACACCCGAGGTCACACCCTGGTCATAGCCGAAAAAGAGTCCACCCAGAGCGGCGAAGACGCACACGACGATGGCATAAGTGCGCGAACCTTCGGTTGGGACGTCATCGTCATTGTTGTGGACGTTCACCACGACGCCAGCAGCCATTGTTGGAATAGAGAACTTGGAGATGAAACGAAGAGTTTGTAGCACACGATGTGCGGGAGGCTTTGTGCAGTAGGATGCGAATCGCAGAATGATTGAATCTTGCAGTGCTGCATCGGTGATCTCGCCAACGAACAACTTGAAGTCGTAAGAACAGTTGCAAGTCATAGACAGCCTCGTAGTGGATTTCAATTGTACATGTGCCGGGGGAGAGAGGGCTAAAACGTGACTGGTTTGGGTGGTAGTAATTGGCTATTGTGCTTACAACGAGCGGGCTTTACACGTTTACGATGAACAACTGGTTTACCGTGCAAGATCCTTAATCAGTTGACAATGAAGCGTGACATCTTGAAGTTGGGGATGACAGGCACTACTTCCGACGTACTAGTAATACTGTAAACTTGGTGAAAATAAGCACCAAATGGTGTGCCCTACACTTGATTTATTTGCAATGGTAAGCACATGGGGAGTTTCAGTGCTGCACAGTTCTTTTGGCATGTTTGTTACTGGCGGGTGAGCTTGTACATACATAGGACGTACGCTGCATGTCTTCCTACATGTCATAGTTTCTCCCTGGTATTGAATGGAAAATATAATACATTGTGGTTTATTCTTTGTTCTTTGAAATGTATTTCAGATCCATTTTTTCCTGAAAAAATAGCCTGGGCATTTGTACATGTATTTCGAAATAATCATAAATTGATGAAGGGTAGTCAGTAGAGATACAGTACTATACAGTGATGACCCTATAGCTAACTTTACGAGTTACTCTGTGTGTTCTACAGTACTGATGAGTATCGCCTGAGCTCATTGCTTGCTGAGAGCCACGTTGCTGCCTCACTGCGCTAAAGGCCAAAGACTTCAGGCAGTTTACCTCTTTTGCGCAGTACATTTATACCGATTTCTGAGAATCACTATCTTTAATTACATACATGTTAGCTCAAGATAGCCTGTTTCGCTCGCAATTTTATGTGGCATTTCCCTTACTATGGCCGTCTTGGTCTTCCGGGCTTGACGGGGGAGCCGAGACACCTCCAGTAACGTGTTTGAGCTCGAAAATGCTAAGCAATCTCTTGGTTTTAACTGCAATATTGCAAGCGACTAGCCAACGAGTCGCTGTAGATGGCTGGCAAAGTAATATTTAGCTGAGCCTACCAAGTAGGATAAAAAGCCTACTAGTAGGGAGTGAAGATTAAGTCCTTCCAAGCTATCATACTACACTGTAGTACTATACATACTGGTATGCGCTTTAGTACTACCATAAAGCAAACTACATATACTTTAATATTAGTATTTATTTAAAAATGCATGTAAAAAAAGGGACCAATCGTATTGAACTTGCTTTCGGAGTTAATAGCATTGATTTCCACTGATGACGGTATGATGGTATCGTTAGTAAAAAAAAAGATCTGGACACAAAACAACGACGCATCCCGTGGCAATAGTTTACGACTAGTATCAAACTTGGTTCACGGGCGACTTGACCTCCACGAACTCCGGCGACTTGGCCGCCTTGCTCTTGTTGAACAGCCCCTCAATGTCCTCCAGCATGATACCCTTGGTCTCCGGACAGAAGAAATACACGAATACCAGACAGATCAGACATAGACCCGCAAACAGGTAGAACACGCCGTCGATGTTGAGCGACGGAAACAACTTCACCACTTCTGTCATGACCGCACCCATGGCCCAGTTGGCCGCCGTGGATAAGGCGACACCCGACGCGCGAACATTGAGTGGGAAGATCTCGGCCGGGTAGATCCAGCACACGGGTCCCCACGAAATGGCAAAGTTGAAGACGAAGAAGGCCGAACCAATGCAGATGAACCAGCCACCTACCGTCGGACATCCGGCGTTGTCGACATTGCCGTCGCAGATAGCCGTGAACAGAATGGCTGCCCAAAGATGACCGACGATCATGCCCACGCCGCCGATAAGCAGCATCGTGCGACGACCATAGGTGTCCACCCAGCGCATGGCCGGGATTGTGCTGAGGAAATTAACGCCTGAAATGAAAAGGGCCGAGTAGCGTCCCGATTTCGTAATGTCCTTGAAGATCAGCGCACCGTAGCTCATAATGGGATTGATGCCCGTGGCCTGTTGCAGCACTTGCAGTAGCATGGCGATGATCACGCGCTTTCGCACGCTCGGCTCGAAGATCTCCAACAGACCCTTACCTTCCGCCTCCTCCTCTGCAATTTGATCGCCGATCACTTCCAGCTCGCGGCCGACGTTGTCGGTTTGGCGTAGCCGCTTGAGGATCCGCTCGGCCGCCTCCTTGCCCTTATGCTTGTAGGTCCAACGCGGACTCTCCGGCACGAACCAAATGCCTAGCAGCACCACGATCGGCGGCGCCATCGAGATACCGTTGGTTGTACGCCAGCCGCGGTCGTGGTTGTACACGATGATGTTGACGACGTTGGCCAGGAACAGGCCGATGACCACAGTCATCTGCATGAAGCCCGACAACATACCACGCAGCTCCTTGGGGGCCATCTCGGCGCCGAATAACGGAAGCGAGAACGACGAGTTACCCACGCCGAAGCCCTGGATAATGCGTGCGATGTACATCAGCGTGTGCGCCTGTGACTTGTTAAAGCAGACCCAGCATGTGCCGCCACAGAAGAGCAGACCGGCGCAGAAGATGGTGGCGCGACGACCCAGCTTGTCGGCCACGAAGCCACCGATGAAGGCCCCCACGAGGCAGCCCAGATTGTATGCCATGTTGTACCAGACCGTGAAGGTGGTCCATTCGCTGGGGAGGTCGGACGTGGAGCGTGTGCAGTCCTCGTAGGTGAAGTTGTGCCAGCCAACGCAGTAGTCGTTCAGAAACGAGTCCATGATGAGCATGGAGGACGTCACGCCCTGATCGTAGCCGAAGAACATGCCGCCGAGCGCGGCGAAGACGCAGACCACGATGGCATAGGTGCGCGAGCCCTCGGTCGGGGTGTCATCGAGTTCAGGATGTTGTGTGCTCACGATGGGGCCACCCGCCATGGTTTCCGAAGAACAAGCAAAACCTTACACGGATTACACCGGCACTTCTTGCTCGCAGAGAAGATTGAAAAGTGAGTTTGTCCGTGGACGAGTCGGCGATCGCGATCAGCAGCTCTGTTCAAGGTCCTTGGCTTGGTGTGCAGTCGGGGTGGCCGTCGCGGTGCGATGGCTCATTGAACGGGAAAGAAGACTCGACATTGCAGGCGGCAGTGCGAGCTTGAAGTTGGCGGGGACTTTTCGACGGCATCAAAGATGTCGGGCCGCTCCTCTCCGCTTGATTTATCCGAGACATCAACTGATGCCCCTCTTCGTTATGAAGCTATGAGTTTCCAGAGACTGAAGTTTTTTTTTATTCTTTCAGTTTGCAACTCGGTGGCACCTTGACAAGATACAAGCCTGGCTCATATATCGCTCGCCTGTCCCACTGTGGCGGTCAAGCGAGGTTGAAGTTGAGACGCCCGGCACAAAATGCACTGAAAAGTATGCCGTAGCTGTGCATCCAAGTACTATTACCACGTTAGGTATACTGTAGATCGTACATAACATGAGCCCCCACAACTATAAGTTGAAGTCCTTGCGGAGCAGCCTCGCGTCGATAAAAGCACTTGTAATTCATTCTGTACGTTTCGCCCGGTTGTAGGGAGTATCATGATCACCACCGCCGGTGCTTCACCGATACAGACGTGCCGGCGGTCTTTGCTAAACTTCACTGCGAGTCTGCTACTTTAATTTGTCCAGGATCGCGCGTGCATTTTGGCTCCGTACCGAAAGAAATGCTGCAAAATGTCCGTGAAAGTATGCAACTTGAAGTCACCGTTGCTTTCAGCTTTCAGCATCACGAGGGACACCCTACACTTGATTTATTCACAAGTCCGTCAGCCACTTCACACTAGCCAGCGGCTCGCAGAATGCGAATCGCAACGTCACGTTGCCAACGTGCAATACGCTCCCCCAACGGAGTCTCAGTGAGCCTGGGGACGCACAAATTGCCATCATGCACTATCCTACATGTAGCGAGACTATCGTTGGTTGATGTGCCGCACGCTTGGGTTGTGTCAAGTCGATGTGGTGTCCGAGCTGCTTTCATCGATATTAACTGCAGACAATGACCTGTAGCCTGCCTTGTATCGTTCTTTATTGATAGCAATTTGCTATTGGCAAGCTCTTCGCTGTGCCGGGCGGATTAGTATTAAACTAAGATTTATTTCGAAACGTTGGCGTTTCATTTTGATACTTCAGCTTTGAGCACACCGAAATGTCGCTATTATTTGTAGTTATGGAAGGCACCCAATGGCCAAACGATATCGAAGCATTCGAAAGGTTGCTTTCGTCGCCAAGACTGCTTATAATGCACGGGGTGGTCCACCCCTAATAGTGCAAAGCAAATTCTACTATTTGCGCATTATCTATTCATGTACACGGATACTTTTCATTGAAAACTTTTCAATAAGTGCATTATGTGCCGGGCGCCTCAGCTTCAACCTCACTACTGTGGTACGGGCGCCTGCTTTGTATGGGTCACCGAATGCTGACGAGATGCCTCCGAGAACCTGAATGAAATAAACAACAACTTCAGTCTTTAGAGACTCTCGGCACCAACAAACCAAAGAGGGGCATCAGTCGACGTCGCGAATAAATCAAGCGGAGAGGAGCGGCCCGACATCTTTGATGTCGTCGAAAAGTCCCCGCCAACTTCAAGCTCGCACTGCCGCCTGCAATGTCGAGTCTTCTTTCCCGTTCAATGAGCCATTGCACCGCGACGGCCACCCCGACTGCACACCAAGCCAAGGACCTTGAACAGAGCTGCTGATCGCGATCGCCGACTCGTCCACGGACAAACTCACTTTTCAATCTTCTCTGCGAGCAAGAAGTGCCGGTGTAATCCGTGTAAGGTTTTGCTTGTTCTTCGGAAACCATGGCGGGTGGCCCCATCGTGAGCACACAACATCCTGAACTCGATGACACCCCGACTGAGGGCTCGCGCACCTATGCCATTGTGGTCTGCGTCTTCGCCGCGCTCGGCGGCATGTTCTTCGGCTACGATCAGGGCGTGACGTCCTCCATGCTCATCATGGACTCGTTTCTGAACGACTACTGCGTTGGCTGGCACAACTTCACCTACGAGGACTGCACACGCTCCACGTCCGACCTCCCGAGTGAATGGACCACCTTCACGGTCTGGTACAACATGGCATACAATCTGGGCTGCCTCGTGGGGGCCTTCATCGGTGGCTTCGTGGCCGACAAGCTGGGTCGTCGCGCCACCATCTTCTGCGCCGGTCTGCTCTTCTGTGGCGGCACATGCTGGGTCTGCTTTAACAAGTCACAGGCGCACACGCTGATGTACATCGCGCGCATTATCCAGGGCTTCGGTGTGGGTAACTCGTCGTTCTCGCTTCCGTTATTCGGCGCCGAGATGGCCCCCAAGGAGCTGCGTGGTATGTTGTCGGGCTTCATGCAGATGACTGTGGTCATCGGCCTGTTCCTGGCCAACGTCGTCAACATCATCGTGTACAACCACGACCGCGGCTGGCGTACAACCAACGGTATCTCGATGGCGCCGCCGATCGTGGTGCTGCTGGGCATTTGGTTCGTGCCGGAGAGTCCGCGTTGGACCTACAAGCATAAGGGCAAGGAGGCGGCCGAGCGGATCCTCAAGCGGCTACGCCAAACCGACAACGTCGGCCGCGAGCTGGAAGTGATCGGCGATCAAATTGCAGAGGAGGAGGCGGAAGGTAAGGGTCTGTTGGAGATCTTCGAGCCGAGCGTGCGAAAGCGCGTGATCATCGCCATGCTACTGCAAGTGCTGCAACAGGCCACGGGCATCAATCCCATTATGAGCTACGGTGCGCTGATCTTCAAGGACATTACGAAATCGGGACGCTACTCGGCCCTTTTCATTTCAGGCGTTAATTTCCTCAGCACAATCCCGGCCATGCGTTGGGTGGACACCTATGGTCGTCG